TCGTGGCCTGGCTGGACGGGGGGTTCCTGGGGAGTGGGGGGCAGTGGCTGGGGTGGGGGGTGACTGTGTGAGGCTAAGGGCTCTGCTTTCTCCCCACACTGCCTGCAGCTGGAGGACAACTGGCAGGACCTGTCCTCTCTGTCAGACGCCAACACTGGGGTGTTGGACCTGCACCATGTGACTAAGAACAGCAGCGGCTTGTACAAGTGCCAGACCCTGGACTTGGATGACATGAGACAGATGGAGAGGGATGTGGAGCTCGTTGTGAACTGTAAGAGAAGGGGCTGGGACCCTGCACGCCTCAGGGTGGGTTCCCTGTCCCTCCTGCTCATCCTGCCCTGGTTTCCATTCCTCTCCTAGACATTGAAGGGGTCCGTGTGGAGATGGATCCATCCTCACCCGTTCAGGAAGGGGGAAGTGTGAGGCTGAGCTGCAGTGCCCACAGCCCCGTGGCCCTGGCCTACCAGTGGAAGAATGAGAAGGTAAACGGGCATCTGGGTATTGCCACACACAAGGCTTGGAGGGCCCTGGGCTTTGCAGAGCCAGGAGCTTGCTCCTTCTCTTCTGAGATAGACCAGGGCTGGGATTCCCCCTTGCATGGACCTGGGTTGTCCATCTGTACCTCTTCACCTGCGGGAAGGTCCTGTGCTTGCACAGCCCCTTGTTGTATGTAGGAGGGGGAGGGCTTTGGGTCTGCCACAGAGCCTGGGGAGCTGGGTGCCTGGGGGCTCATTGCTGGGACATCCCAACAGAACGTGAATGTTGGAGAAGGGAACCAGCTGGTACTGAAGAACCTCACCTTCGAAAACTCCGGCAACTTCAGCTGCAAAGTGACGGCCCCGAGCGTGCAGGGGCTGGAGCAGACCCAGCAGGTGGCAGAGGCCGTGCACGGTAAGAACCCTGCCAGCCTGCTGGGGTGAGCCCTGGGAGCCACTGGTGCCTGATGTGCCCCCCATCTCATCCCGCAGGGAAGCCACGGATCGTGGCCATCAGCTCCCCCGTGTACGTGCGGCAGGACGAGGTGGTGAACCTGACCTGCAAGGCCATCGGTGTCCCCTCGCCCTCCTTCCGCTGGAGTGTCAGTGGGATGGTGAGAGCTGGGTCCAGGCTGTGGTCCCTGGGGGGCTGCACGTTGCTCTGGGCACTGACTCCTTTGCTGCTTTCCCCCCCCACACAGGCTCACGAGTACGTTGAGAACCAGCACATCACCAGCAACCTGACCGTGCGTGTGAACCCTGAGCTGCTGCGGAAAGGAGCCAAGTGCACGGTCTTCAACACCCTGGGCTCCATGGAGGAGAGCATCCAGCTGCTGAGTGAGTCTCAGGCACTGCCCTCTGCCCCAGGAGCCCCGAGAGGGATCAGTCCCCCTTGTTCAGGTGTCCTGTGTGCCGTGGCTGAGCTCTGTCTCTTCCCCTCCCTTCTTGCTGTCCCAGTGGGGTCTGTCAGGAAGGGTCAGTTTCTGCACCACGAAGGTGTGTGCATCCCTCAGGCTCTGCAGGAACGTGTCCCCCGTGGGAGTCACACTGGGGAGAGAGCCCTGACTGCTGGCTCCTGCACTGCACCTCTCCCTGCTGCTTTCTCCCTGCCAAGCTGGGAGGGAAACGGAGGCTCTGGTGGGAAAGCTGCCTACTTTTGTCCCCAGCCTGTAGCCCAGGAAAGGCCACCACCAAGTGCAGCTTCCCAGGCCTGCTGGGCAAGGAGGCAAAGGGATGGGGCTGATGTCTTGCAGGAACCCTGTAAGCCCTCCTGCTGTGGCAGCTGGGGGCAGAATGCAGAGTGTGTTCATACAACTGCCCTAATGGAGCATTTTTTTTTTCCCCTGCATCCTGCAGGGAGCTGGAGAAGCACCAACTGGAGTCCCCTTGGGTGCTTTCTTGGGGGAAAGGGTCTTTTCCTTGCCCTCCAGGGGGGTGCAGCGATGCAGAAGCTGGAGTGGATCAGGGTGGGGCAGGAATGAACTTCTTCCTTCCCTGTGCTGTTTAGATCAAAAGACACCAGAGAGCAAAGGGGTGATCATCGTGGCCATCATCATCTGCATCCTGGTGGTGGCTGTGCTGGGCTCTGTCATCTACTTCCTGCACAAGAAAGGCAAGATCCCCTGTGGCCGTTCTGGGAAACAGGACATGTAAGCACCACCCCCTGCCCAAGGGAGCCTTTGGGGCCAGAGGGGCTTTGCCATCACTCATGCTTCCCATCTCATTGCACACTCTGCTCCCTGCCCGAGGTGGAGGGAAGGGGGCACCGCGCGGGGCTTCCAGCTTCCCACAGCCCGGGGGTCCACACTGTGCTCACCCCGTCCACACAGGGAGGTGATGAGGAGGACAGCAGAGTGGTAGAGCAGCCAAAGGGTTCCCATGGAGGGCAACCAGGCAGCCCAAAGCTTTCCCCAGATCTGGAGCCTCTTTCACCCCTGGCCTTCCCTCTGCCCTGGCCCCACTCCAGAGCATCCCCTGAGATGGAGCCCCCAGGGCTTGGCCTCGCTCAGCCCGGCCACGTGCCCTCTTTGGTATCACAACCATGTCTCAAAGTTGTCACCTCCCTCCCTTAGCACAAAGCCAGAGGCACGTAAAGACAAGATTGTAGTTGAAGTTAAGTCAGATAAGCTTTCCGAAGAGGCTGGGCTCCTGCAGGGTGCCAACGGCGAGAAGAGATCTGCCGCTGACCAGGTAGGACAGCGTCGTGCACTGCCCTTCCCCAGGGCCAGGGCTGCTCCCAGGGCTGGAGCTGAGGTAGTTCATGCTCCTCTCCTCTCTGCCAGCTCCTCTCCCAGCACTCCCCATGCTGCACGGGCCTCCATCGTCCATCATCAGTGCTCAGGAGGGGCTGTGGGAGGAGGGTGAGATGGGGCTGTGGGAGGGAGGAGAGCAAAACCCTGGCTCTCTGCTCCGAGGAGGTAGGAGAAGCCTTTCCCTGAGCATGAGCAGCTCTGCTCTGTGCCAGCCCCAGGCAGCTCCAGAGGGGACAGTCCCTGCCCTGCTTGGTACTGCCTCCTTCTCTGCTCCCTGGAGCAGGAGCTGGGCTCCCGGGGGGCTCTGGGAGAGGGAACTACATAAACATCTTCAGGCAGGAGTCAGAGCAGAGGCTGAAGGAGTGGGCTTTGCTGTGGCACCTCTGAGCCAAAGCTCTCAGTGCAGGATGAGAGGAGTCTCCTGGGCTGGGTGCTTTCCTCTCCCCAGAGGTTGAGAGCCACAGAGGGGCTGACGCAGCTCTTACAGAATCACAGAACGGTTTGGGTTGGAAGGGATCTTAAAGATCATCCAGTTCCAACCCCCGTGCATGGGCAGGGACACCTCCCAGCAGCCCAGGTTGCTCAGAGCCCCATCCAACCTGCCTGTTCTTCCTGTCCATGCTGGACCATCACGGTGCTGAGGCAGGGCATGACACTTGTGCTTCCTGCAGAGCCATAGTGTGTGGCACCTGAGAGACCATTCCCCCTGGTCCTGCTGCTTGTGTTGCCTCATGCTCACCCCTCACCCTGCTGCAGTGACTCAGTCCCCACAGGGTGGCCTGGGCCACATCATCTTGCTGCCTGTCACCTGCAGCAGAGCACCTGCTTTTATGTTCCCCCCTAATTGCTGTTCCCTCCCCCCCCTTTCTCTTCCCATTTTGTCCCACCGAAGAGCGAGAAATACATCGATCTGAGAAACTAAGAGAGGGAAATCTACTAAGTGCTTTCTTCCTTCAAAACTTTTCCTGCTCTTGGATTGCCTTGTCCCAACCCCTGCTCCAGACCAGGACTGCCTCACAGCGCTGAGCCCCTCTCTGATACCTCAACCGTGGTGGGCTTGCAGGTTGTCAACTTAGCAGACCTTACTACTCCAGAGAAGCCAACAGCAATATTCAAGAGAGAAAGATCCCATTGAGCTCCCTGGTGGAAGGATTGGAGGCTTTTTTTGTTCGTTTGTTTGTTTGTTTTTCTTTCTTCAGGAATTCTGTCTTGTGTGCGGGGAGGTTTTGATGTGTTTTTTGACCCCAAAACTGGCTCTGAAAAGCTGGTGAAGTTTTCCTGTTGGGATGTCCCAGGCACGGTAGATTGTAGTGGTGTGCAGGTTAGGTGAGCGAGGGCTGGAAGTGGGTGTGTTGGAGCAGGGAGTGCCTGCTGGGGAGGTGGTTGTTAGTGCTTTGCTTTTCCTTTCCAACCCTTCTTGTCCCGGTTGGTTTAGTCCTGGTGGAGCTGTGACCCCCCGGGAGGGGGAGATGGGGCAGAGCAAGGAGAGGGAGGGGGTCTCTGGTTTGTAGCCTTGCTGGCAGGAAGGGAGGGCTTCCCTTTCCCCAGGGAATCGGGTTGATTTTAGGGGCGACTGCACAAGTGCTGCCAACAAGAGGTCCCAGAGCCCCTAAATTTAAAACTATTAGGCCAGGGCCAGTTGTTGATGTCTCAGGGTTGTTGTTTGTTTTGTTGTGTTTTGTTTTATTTTGTTTTAAACTTCTGAAGAGTTCCCAGCCCCAGGTAAAAACTGGTTGATTCCTGTGCATTGCTGTGGCACCTCTGTCCCCAGAGTGCTGGAGAGGGGAAGGTGGGTGAGAGCAGCCTGCCTTGACCTCCTGCTGTCACAGCCCTGCAGCCACGGCTCTGCCCCCTCCTCCAGAGATCAGCCCCTCCAAGCTCCCAGTGCTCTGCTCTGCCCCTCCCCAGCAGCCCCTCAACAAGGGGAGGGGGTGGTAAAACCAACCCTGGGTGGGAGGAGAAGTGTCCCCCCCTGCACCCCCAGCCCCTCTGCCAGGAGCAGGGAGCAGGGCACAGCCTGACCAGCCACGAGCTGCGACTCCCGAGCTACAAGTGTTGTCCAAGCAGAAGCTTTGGTTTATATATATATATATTTTTGTTGGATTGTGTGTAAATTTCCATCAGTTTGGGGGTTTTTTTGGGGTTTTTTTTTTTTGTTTTTTTTTTTTTTTGTTGTTGTCTGATACTTGCAAGGTTTGTTTGCTTTTTTTATATATATATATATATATATGAAAATAAAGTACCAACTTCAAAGCTGGGCTCTGCAGTGTGTTCCTGCCAGGAGCAGCTCCCCCCATCCCTGGATGGAAAATCCCCTGCTCCATTCTAACAGCACTGACAGCTAATTAAGACACTAACAACTGCCAGTATTAATAAATGTGTATTAAATAAATATGATGATTTGCAGTAAATACAGTAATAATCATGCATTTAATAAATATTATTTATTCTAATAGATAATTATAGTATTAGATTGTAATATATAATTGTATGACTAGTGATGGTGGGTACTAAAAGATAATAGAATTGAATAGATCCCAACAGGAGAATCTTGTTAGTTGTATTAGTATCTCTATTAGCTATTAATAGACTTATTTAACAGCTAATAAAGGTATCTATCACTAGATTCTAATAAATAACAGGACATTATAGTAGATAATTTTATTGACAGCTACTCTAGAAACTAATAGATCCAGGTTGGAAAAGACCTTCAGGATCATCAAGTCTAATTGTCTATTAATATTAATAGATATTATATAGTAACAGATATTAAAGGATTTTTCCCTTAAAATATTCTAATAGATTATTCAAGTACTACCTACTCTGCAACCTAATAGAAGATACTTGTTGATATATTCTAACACATTTTAATTGGTAATGGTTTTAATCCCTAATACAGATGCTAAATGAAATAATTAATGCTAATAGTGATTTTAATAGTTGCAAAAGCACTAACACAGATAAAAATAGATAATTCTCTTAAAAGATTATTCTGGATTATGAGGCAAAATCCTATAGCCAGCTGCTAAGTGCACCAATAAGAAATTCCATTAATTAATTCTAATAGACAATTGAATTAATAACTTCTATCAATAATTCTATCACTGTTACAGATTCTACTACATTATTCTAATTGGAGCTGATACAGGTTCTAATAACTGCTACCTCATTGGACCCCCTGGTGAGGAATTTTAGGGGATCACTTGACCTTAAGTAACAATCAGTCTGGATGAATTTGATGGGCCAATCAGGCACAGGCTGGTGTAATCATTCAAACACACGCAAATTAAACCAAATACATGCAAATTAAACCAAATGTTTGCAGAAATTCCCAATATCAGGTCATGGAGGCAAATCGATAGCTGGACTATTTTCAGCTGTATTAAAATTGCACTTGAATATATTGAAACACATGCAAATGAGGAAGGAACTGGCAGAACCCCTTGGTGATGAAAGCACCAGTCCTCATCTGTCCCCCTCCATTAGCCTCATTTGACCCTAATATCCTCAGTTGACCCCCGCTTATGTCTTTGAGGGGTCCCCTTGACATTGGGCAACCCCATATATCCTCATTTGACCCCCCAAGTAATCTCATTTGACCCCAATATCCTCATTTGATCCCCCGTGATGTGTTTAAAGGGTCCCCTTGACCTTAGGTAACCCCATGTCCTAATTTGACCCCAGTAACCTCAGTTGACCCCACATGGTGTCTTTGAGGGGTCCCCTTGACCTTAGGTAACCTCATCTGTCCTAATTGGACCCCCCCAATTAACCTCATTTGACCCCAATAACCTCATTTGATCCCATGTGATGTCTTTGAGGGTCCCCTCAACCTTAGGTAACCCCGTGTCCTCATGTAACCCTCCCCTCCCCCATTAACCTCATTTGACCTCACACTGGTGCCTTTCCGGGGTTCCCTGGAGCTGATTTGACCTCCATGTCCTCATTTGACCCCAGGGTGACTCATTTGTGGGGTTCACTGGATCCCCCCTGGATCTGGAGTCCCATGATCTCTACCCCTGGATGATGGGCCCACGTTTTATCTAACCCCCCCCACTCCCTCTGTGAGGAGCCAGGATATCAATTAGCACTCAGCTAATTGTGGGAATAATTACAACTAAGACAAATCCAATCACGGGACGATCCAGGAGATGAAGTGACCACCTGAGCTCCCTGGAGAAGGTAGAGCAGGAGGTTCTTTTTTTTCCCCAGCCCTGACAGATCCAACACGACCCAGACCATGTGCTACAACAAAGGAAATTTTATTGAAAAATAAAACTTTTGTGGGTTTTTTTTTTTTTTCTTTTCCTTTTCTGGACGGGGGTGAATGAGACCCCGAACTGAGAAGCTCTTCATGGGCAGCACACAAGAACAATTAATAAATAACATTAGTAAAACCTCTAAACATGAACATTTTGCAAACAAAATGAGGACTTTTAAAACCACGAGAACCTTTAAAGCTCAGCTACTCTCTGTAAGAATATTTACCTTCTGTTTGTTTCTTTTCCTTATTCTTTACAGATCTGGAAGGATTAAATACTGCTATAATGACTTTATATTAATGACACTATTAGAACTTTGTTTTATTTCATTTTTAAAATATCTCATGAAAAATCTCAACATTTTTAACACTGACATGACACAAATTGGTATTTGTCATTCAGAGAGAAAGAACAACTGTCCCTCCCCCCCCACGCTGGGAATTCCAAAAGAAAGGAGGAACTTCCAAAAAAATAAGTGTCCTTATTCCCCACTGATTGGTTGGGTGTTGTTTTTTTTAAGTGAGACCTTTAAGGAAAGGGCTCTGGGAGTTGATTTTTATTCCTTGCTCAACTGAAAATACAAAACCAAACCCAAACCAGAACCAAGACCATGGAGAAGTGATGACCCATCCTCAGGAGGAGCTTTGGGATAATGGGATCAGTCCCAGTGCAACTTGGTGTCCTTCCAGGGACACTTAGACAGGGGCTTGAGTGAAGGGCTGTGCAGAAAAGCTGCTCAGTGGAAGCAAACAAGCAGTTTTCACCTCCTCCCCTCGGCAGGATATGTCACATTTCAGGTTCCCATTCAGCTCTGGTGGTTCTATTTTTCACTCCATCAGCTGAAAACCCTGCTCAGAGCAGGGGACAGGTGGCTTTCCACGGCTCCATCCTGCAGGTGGAGGTGCAGGATGAGCCCACACATTCTGGGCCTGAGGGTTTCTGCTTGTTTGGTGGCCAAGGCTGGGCAGGGAGGGGGGGAAAACCAGCATTTTTTGAGAGCAGAACTTTTTAATGACAAGCAGAACCACCCCTGTCCTGCACTTGCCCTCACCAGCCCAGACACGTCACTGTTAGTAACAAGTAGGAAACCTCCACAGTTGAAATGCTACAAAACACAGTGTCAAGAGTTGAAGTGACAATTCATCTTTCTTGCCCCTTCTTTTCATCCCCTTCCAAGCAGTCCCAGGCTCAGAGGCATCTTTACAGCTCGTCTGCTTGGGGCTCTTCATTTTCAGAGGGGTGGATGCTCAGATCCAGCCTAGCAAGGCAGCATTCCCTTCAGGAAGGCACTAGACATCTGGGTTTGCTTTTTTAAAGTAGCATCATACCGTTAACTTCTTAAGAATAAAGATTAAGAAGGTGAAGGGGAGGGGGAAAAAAAAGAGAAATCAATCTTAGGCTTTACATTTCTGAAAGAACAAGAAGAAAAATACACTGTACAGTGTCTGGATTGACTTCACAGAGTACAGCCACGAGACATGGCCAGGACTCTGCTGCACTTCAGTGGTACCAGCAAATGCTTAACATGTCCAAGGAAGAAAAGCTTAGACTTAAGTTTCTTAAACCAGTTTGAGACACAAACAGTGCATAGAAAGGACACATGCAGAAAAAATTAGTGATATATGCTACAAAGATTGCTCTCTCTAATCTCTAATACTTG